CTTGATCAAAGGATCATTGATATCTGCTTGAATCTTCAAGTACTCCAAATACCTCTTTATACTTTCTATTCTGGTTTGCTTCTGCTTCTCACCCCCACTAACTGACGCATCCTGTGCCTCCAAATTCTTGAGCCGTAATCTCTCCTTCGCGATCATCTCTAACTTTTCCTCTCTATCCGCTTGTAAGACCTTTCGAGCTTCCTGGAAACATTGATATGGTAATTGTTCAAAAGGGATATTGGCGGAAGTCTTCAGCGCCGCACGACGACGTCTTGATCCTATGGGCATAATACCCTGCCTCATCAATTTCCTCTCATTTTCTGGTCTCACAACAGTTGCCGGGTCGAGACCAGAAGGCGCTGCTTCCTGAGCCGCAGCTTCTGCATTGAATGTCGTGGAGCTCGTAAAGGTTCGTATTGATCTTGCAGATAGATATAGTGACGGAGTATTTTGTAGGCATCGCGCCATGGGCCTTACGGCCTTCTGACAGGGAGGCATGGTGATGTGATGCTGATATGTGATGTTTCGACAAAATTATCGAACGCCATATCAAATATTGGCGGGACATGCCGAAGAATTGCCGAGGAAATTTAATTTTGGCCTAGCCTCGCCGAGATCCATTGAATTCAACGACGACAGCGACCCTATAGGATTTAAGTCACTCAAATATGGCGACGAAGGGACTTCAAAGCTTTGCGAAAAGCTTGAATGCTTTTCGCACATCAATAAATAGTGCGAGGGACCCTCTGACAGTATGTTGTTTGCATTGGAGATTGAGAAATAGAGTACTGATTTTATTGTAGCAATGTCTAGCACCACAATTTACGAGGACAATGGCAACAGAGGCGCCATTACCGTCCGGTATATCTCAAGAATATGAGCCTAGCATTCTCACAAAAACATCAGATATCATATCTGACCCTTTCAGTAAATATCTCATGTAAAATATCTCGATCTATCTATTAACACCCCGCAGACCCCCCAGTCCTAACCACCATCTACAAATTCCCTACCATGGAACCCGTCCGATTCGAATCCTACCCAAGTAAACACCTCTATCTCCCTCTCCGTCGAGATCTTCTCCACCGCGCTGTAGTATTCGAAGGCGACAACACCCGTCAAGGAACTGCATCATCTAAAACTCGCTTCGATGTCCATGGTTCCCATCGAAAGATTCGCCCGCAAAAAGGAACTGGTGGTGCTCGTCTTGGTTGGAGACAATCGCCATTGATCGTTGGAGGAGGAAAATCATTCGGTCCTCATCCAAGAGATTTTGGAACAGACTTACCGAGAAAGATGTACGATATTGCGTGGCGGACGGCGCTGAGTTGGAGGTATAGAAAAGGACAATTGATTGTCTGTGAAGATGGAATGGAATTCGAGCACCCAAAGACTAGATATGCGAAGAGAGTTTTTGAACATCTGGGATGGAGCAAGAATAACGGACGGACGTTGATTGTGACGGGTGGTTTCAGGAAGAACCTGTCCAGCGTTGTGAGCAAAAATGATGCGACAGTGTTGGATGTGAACGAAGTGGATGTTAAGGATTTGTTGGAATTGTCAAGGGTTGTGATAGAGAAGAGCGCATTGGATCAGATGTTGGAAGAGCATCAGAGTGATCTCGTGAAGAAGGTTAGGAGTGCTGCGTGATGAATGAGCTATGATAATATATTTGCTCTTGTCTTGTGTATAGAGTATTGTACAAAAAATGTAACAATTTCTAGATGAAAGCACAATACTTTGCTCGAAGGTGTATTCATTGCTCAAGGCGCTGTTTTCTATCTCGCATGCTTTCTAATACAATATAGTACGTTGCACGGAATACATGAGATTTGCCAACCAGTCAACATTTCCAAATCACTGAATAAATGTTTAATTTCTGACATTATATTTGGAGTGGAACCGCTCAAGTGAGTCTTCTTTCGTTCTTCGCCAAATTCTACACTACTCCCAATTTTACTATCAGCTTTTCTTGCACCTATCTGCCATTTCGTTCATGCACAGTAGACTTATTTTCCTAAAAGTCCGGCATAGAATCATATACTTTCACCCAGCTCTTTCTCCCTGAGTTTTTCGCAGAGCAATATCTCATAACAAACCTCTTTGAAATGGCCCAAGAGGTATCGAACAAGCCCATAGGTCTCGAATTCTCATCTCTGTTTGCTCCACCCAGATGGCCATCTCATGCGGCACCTGGCGAAATGAAAGATATCGTTCTTACCTTTCCACCGTCCTTCTTAACTTCTGGATTTCCTGATCTGCATATCATCGAAGTCCGCACAACTGCTTAACTAGCCTCATTCCTCGTTAAATAGAACATTATTCAACACTCACTGACCCAGAAGGGAAAAATGAAACCAAGTTATGAGATTTTTTTTACCTAGAATCAGATGTACAAAGCGGGTAGTTTGAGTTATCTTGAACCCTGGACAATGGCAAGCTGGCTGGCGATATGTTGACAAATTATTTCATAAAATGACGATTAATGGTGTGAGGTGCGGTGTGGCTTCTCAAGTGCTACACATTTGCATTGCAAAATGGAAGCAGATGGGCAGTTGCGCTCATCCGAAGATATATCGCATTTATCAGCGTACATTTAAATGATGATCTCTCTGCTTTTTCATCAAATATACCCAAGATGTCCAAGTTCAACCAGCAACAGCAGCCCTTCACTAATAGAGAACTCCATTGACTGATATTAAGGCAAGTTGTCTTTTATAAAATTCACTACGATTTTTAAATGCTAATCATAATCACGTCTTTGTAAGTCAATAAAATTGACCACATGCAGAGATATTAACACAAATCCTTGTATGCTAACGATATCATCACAAGGCAACAAAAGTGGATGGGTGTAGATGAAGAGATGTTGAGTTGACATACGCTTTTATTCATAATCATATCCTCAGAAGACAATTGAATGCTAGCTATTTTGCACGCAAGCCAATTTTTTCATAAAAGACAAGCTTGATCGAGCTTCAGAGGAAACTATAACACACAGTCTGCTGGTTTTGCATGGGGCAGAGGAAAAGGGAATCCATCATTGAGCAGCAGATGATCTTCACAAAAACATAGCAACGTAGTCTTGGGAAAGAAAGAAATGGCCAGGAAGAGGATGAGGGTGGGACTGCAATATACCAAGTCAGTTTGTAAGGAAGATCGTGTCTCATTAAATCACAGCTTTTGTAAACTGCTGTAGCTGCTACATGACTGAGGAATTGATGTCCAAATTAGTGCACTGTACACATAATGTTTCCATGAAACTAAAAGGGTCAGTCAAACAAAGCAAACACAATAGTGCTTGGTCTTATTTAGACCCTAACAAACAGTGTATCTTCATCTGCTTGTATATAAACTAATAATGAGACCTAGGCTCTACCACCTGCATTTCAAATTATCAACTCTCTAAATATACTATCTACACAGGCAATCCTGATACAATAGAAATGTTCCTTACGATAACAAACACAGAGGTGTATATTTTTGTCCTTTTGATGCAGGAAGTCAAAGCAATTTGCTGTCCAGATAATGAAGAAGATAATGAAGAAGTGACTTTGTTGAGGCCAATCACTTCAACATTTCTTCATTCGACTGCCTGCTACCTTTCTTGACTTTGTTTTACCCTGCCTTCCTGTGCCACTGTCCATACCTATATATATCAAACTCATTAATACTTTCCCTTGAGATATAATATGCTGGAGGACCTAAACATCTGAGAGGATGCAGGCGTGGGTCATGATTAAGGGTGGACTCTATGTCCAAAAAAGTTTGGGAATCAAAAATCGCTTAATGTCGTATAGCAGTCTAGCTGTTTGGAGGAATTTTGGAGGAGACTGTAAGAATCTGACTGGTGATTATTCCCTGTCATCATTCGCTGATACAATACAGCACCACCTATTCACAGTCTATGGCTTATTAGCCACAACTAAGAAGAGGTCCCGAGGTGGCTGTAGTAAATCAGCGTTATTTCCGCTCGGACCATCTTCTGGTGATGTCAATATTTGTTTTCTAAAGTTACCTACTTAAGCATCAAGACGTGACTCGACTGGAACCTAAACACTTCAACACTACAACTTCAGAGAAAAAACTTTGTCTATCAAATTCCAGAGTTAAACTTCTTTATCAGATTTAATCACAGGTCTTCTTCGCTAGAGAGATAACTTTTCCACCAAAGAACTTTGTTCAACAGGAATTCTTCAAACTTTACAGCAACACAATGTCGACCCTACCTATCAACGCGGTACCTAGAGACAAAGGTGTTATTTACCATAGTATGAGTCTCTTCTATAACAAGACTCATTCAAAGTCAAGATATAGACCACTACCTGAAAAGAGAGGATTCCAATTCATGAAACTCCCTGCCGAACTGCGAAACACGATTTGGGGATTGACAATTGAACAACGACTAGGTACGCACTTACTCATCTTTGCTTTAGTCATTGAACTGCGTGTTTGCCCCAACTTTTCTCTAGACCCCCGAATGGAACTTTTCCATGCTCGGATTTCTGGTGGCAAGCGAAAGTGGCGATTCGGTTAATTGGCTGTTACTGTACAGGCTTGCTAACTGTCGGAATATCGATCATGTGATCTAAAGAGGGCACTGTATTGCACTAGCGTATGCACTAGCGCTAGCACTTCTACTATATTAAATACTAGCTTCCCATAGTTAATAATGATCAAGAACGAATACAACCATAATAGACTAAAGTACTTTACACTTATCAACCAAGTTGATACCAACACTAACTTATCATTTAATAGTCGAAGTCCGATTCGCACAGTATGAGGAGCTACACAACCATGTCACCCATGATTTTGTTGCAGACGTTCCAGTAGCCCTACATATTTGCCAAGAATCGAGAAATTTCGCACTGGGGCATTATGAGCTCACGTTCGATCATGATGGAACTTTTGCCCCTGTCTACTTCAATTTCAAACTGGACATCCTCTATCCTCGTGCTAGCTGTAGCAAAGAGCAGCTTCGTTTTTTGGCCAATAACATGGACAAAAAAGACTGCGACAGAGTTACTTATCTTGCAATGTACAACGAGCACCTTGAACGAACTCGGTCATTGAGTACCTGGAGGGCCTTACCTCTCCGTTTCCACAATCTTGATGCATTCATCATTTTGTTCAAGAGCTTTGTCGACCCCACTACGGTTGATGAGGAGACCTTGCCTCTCTGCAAGTACAGTAGCGCCTGGGAGTCTTTTTGTGGTGAACATGCGTACACCCCTACCGGCCGTATAAAAGCGGCCTTGGTGCAACACGACAGTAATGACTTAGAGAAAAGGATAAGAGCATATCTCCAGCCTCCTGTCCATGTGTGCGAGAGGGAAAAAACGCAAAAGGGTCATTCGCGTCAGACACATTTCCTTGGTGGGAAGATTATGCGTAGAGATCCAATGCACTCCCATGGTTGGGCCATGGAGAAAGCCCATTACTACAGCAAAAATCTACATAAAGCTGCAAACGGCAGTCGATGGGTTTGGAGGTGTCCGGAAATAGCAGTTTTGGGATTTTGCGAGCATGGACTGGAGTTTGAGGAAGCGCCTGGACTTGCATACAAGGGCAAATTCTTTCGTCACTTTGACGACCAAAATAAGAGAGTCAAGAAGTTCTACATACCAGGAACTGTGACTGGAACAGTGAAGAGCCAGAAAGCAGCGGAGGAAATAGCGAGAATAGAGGCGAGAAGTAAGGCAAAAATAAAGGCGAGAAAAAAGGCAGAAAGAGACGCCGAAAAGAAGCGTGGCTGGCGTTAATGTCAACATAATAGGACAGACACTAACTGTACACCATAAGTGGAGAGAAACATGTTTACGGGTAGCGAGAGATAACCTATGGTTATTTGTTTTCCGCTTGTTTGGAATTTAACAGTCTGATACTATGCAGATAACAACTTTAATTGATTCTTCGCAAACTATCATTTGAAGTGCTCTGGTTCGAACTATGCACTGTCAAAGATCTGAATGACTCTTTTATTCGATGTCCTACCTTAGCGCTACTATCTGATAGCGTTATAAATACCTTCTGAATGCTTCAATGACTGCTAGTAAGGCTATGAATTGGGCTGGCACGTTTCCATACACGATTTTCATTGTGCACTTCCAGAATTCAAATGTGAGACCCTCATCTGAAATATGGTTGCTGCAAAACGTGTAAGATGTAGATTCCTGGATGCGCTTCATCAGCACTTCATGATCATCTTTATCTTGTTCTTTTGCTCAAATTGAAAGAGATCATCCATCAGCATTCCTCAAGCCACTCTTATTTGCCGGTTCTAGGATGGAAAGGCAGAGAACTTTTTAACAACAACCAACCAAATCAAAGCATTCCCACGGTTCATGTCTTACATTCAACCTCGAGAGAAAGGACCAAACTTCTCGCTCGAAACACTAGTCCGTCTGGTGGTCCATAAAATCAGAATTTTATTCTCATTAGATTCGCATTAAAAACCCGGTATCATGATTTCAGGGCACTCATCCGGAACCTTTCCCGGCTGTGTAGCAAGCAAAAAGCATCCTCGTTCGTAAATGGTCGTTCGACGACATCATCGTCGTAAAATTTGCAATCGGTAGACTAATATAAATCATTCACCAAGCTTTATCTAATATTGCCTCGGAAAGGATGCTCTTCCACAGAATCTCAAACCTCCTACAACACTTTTTTGTCATAATTTCCGTTTACTTTAATTTGCTGATGGAGGGGCATCAACCCATTTATATCCAAGCTCGAACGCCACCCCCTCGTCAAATAATAACCACCCCACATTCATCACCAGCCACCGCTAATCAACCTAGCACATCACATGCTCACGTTCCCTTCACGCGTTTTAGTGGATTTGTTTTCCAACCAGCTCAGCCTCGTCTCGTAAACATCATCGAATCCAAAATCCAATATCATATCAAACCTCAACCCCCATACAAATCAATCAATTCCAATCTATTCAGTAAAACAACACGACTCCATCCAAACCAAAGATCCCACCATCTCAACTTCCCAACTTCCCAATCTCATCATGGCCGAAACACCTACCACCCCCCGCATTACCTCTCCCTACTTAAATTCCTTCACTTCGCGCACTGTACGTATGGTGGGAAAAGTGACGCAGTTAAGAGGTGATGAGGCAACTATCGAGAGTGATGGGGCTGTGACTGTAATCTTGAATCGGGTAGGTTCTATTTCTCGTCTCTTCTACCAACATCCCACCACAACCTCCAAACTAAGAAACCCCTAGGACTCCCATCTCCAAGTCGGAAACGCCGTCGAGATCGTCGGGAAAGTAAACCAAGACCTAAGTGTCAAAGTACTAAAAGCCACTGATTTCGGCACAAATTTCGGTATGATTTCTTCTTTCTTCCCTTGCTACTCTCCTCCCGGAAGTACATAATATGCAAAAACAAGCTAACACCATACCCCTCAGATTTCGCAGCAATGAACGCCCTAGTCGACGCAAATCATCGATACAAGGAAATCTGGTATACCGAGGGATAAGAAATCATCAACTGTAACCTGTATTCAAGGACGTTGAGGGCAAGGCAAGGCACAAAATTAAAATGCCTTCGTTACAGATAAATGAGGTAGATATACAACTACCACGAGAAAACATGATATGATATGGAATTCTGCAGGGTAAAAGGAATAGAAGAGAATGAGAGGTGATGCTACTTATTAGAAAGAATGGAAGGAATCGAGGCCGAGTAATAGATGAGTAGAGGCAGCTGTGATCTCAAATCCTGCTTACATCACATCTCTCTATTCAATGGAATACCTTGATGGCGAGCTTATCGAGAAAATATGCAAAGAAACTATACAACACATAAAGTCAACTCAATATGTTTCAGAGAATCATGCATAGCTCACTCACATCACGAACTTCACATTCACTATTTTCACAAGCCCAAGGGTAAAAAAAGCCATGCATCTCATCATAAACTCTTGATCATTCTTATGTTCGCTCAACGTAGTACTAGATCATCTCAAGAAAACTCGTAAACCCTCGCTGATATCAAAAACAAAGCTAAACTATACAGTCATAGAGTAATCGAACCAATGCTTATTCCAAAACTCCCAGATTTTATCAGATGCATTTAGCATATATGATATGACAAACAACGCCATGCTGTTGTAAAATGCATTTCCTTCACATATGTTCCCATCCCTAATAATCCAAACGCCCACTAATGCAATCCGTCAATCATGAGAAAATACAAATCCGCGCTCTTATTCTTATTCGTAAGTGAAGGAGATCGACTAAGTCGTCTCATTCGTCATTGTTTCCTCCACTGGTTCCTGTTTGATTTCCGCGTCCCCTGCTTTTTCCTTTTCCGTCCCTTTTTCATTTTCTGTTGGAGCAGTATCGAAATTAAAATTACCCCAATCAAGAGGTCCTCCAGCTGAAGTGTTATTAAATTCAGTGAACATCCTTGGTGGTGAGGATGGCATTGGAACATCTGTCGAGAAGAAGTCTTCATCATATTGTTGAAGATTGTAAGATCCATGGTCGAAATTAGGAAGATCAGGCAAATTATTAAAATCGAGGTGTTGAGAGGGCGAGTTGATAGGGTTATCAGACATTAGCTGGTTTAATTGGGCGGTAAATGGTGACTCGAAAATGCCGTTGCCACGAGGAGTTCGACGACATGATCCAGGAGTCTTACTTGGGGTTTTGGGAGGAGGTAAAAGATGACTTGGAGATTTTCCCGAGCGACCAGACCTGGTTACGCTCCTGGTAATGGGCCTGTGGTTCGGGGTTGGTCTAGTGGGTGTTTTGAATGGATTTGGGCCAGGTGTTTTTTGGTCTGGTGTGGTCGGTCGTGCAAATTGCTCCTCAATCAATCTCATAAGTTCAGCGTCCTCTTCTAGATCAAATGGGACCGAACAGTTCTCCTTGTCCATGGCTCCGAGAACTGCATCTTTAGCGCCCTGTATATCAACAACAACCTGAACGACATTGGTTGTAACTTCGCCTAGGACTTTAGGTGATAAATCTTTGCGTGGAGAAGGAAACAAGAGCCTTCGGGTTGTGTCTGTTTCTGGCTCTTCTCCGATTTCAATCTGATTATTTTGTGTCCACCTAGCTGGACTGGATTGTAAAGCTCTTCTCAATGCTGCCGAAGCGGAATCTGAAGTCATGGCGTTCAGCTTCTTAGAAGGACGGAGACTGTTTGCACGGCGCGCTCCATTTGGGCGGTCGTGGTCAGTAAGTATTTGGTTGGTAGAATCTAATCCGTCAAGGTCAATTGGAGACAAGCGGTCGGTACCAAGAGGAGCCGCGGGATTCTGATGAAAAGCCTCGGATGGGGCGAAATTGGTCTCTGATTGTGGGAAGTTTGCCTCTGATGTGGGCATCATCGCCGCTGCCTTAGCTTTAGAAGGTCGCTTTTTCTTTGCATCTGGATCTTTACCCCATTTAGCTTCTGGACGTTGAGACTTATACTTCGACATCCATATACCACAAGCTATAATAATTAGCGACACAATCCGTCAAATACTATGCATAACTTACGATTGCAAAGACTGAACGCCTTGAACTGTTTTTGATCTTCTCCAGCAGCAAGGGCTTTTTTGATAAGGAGATATGAAGTAGGGAGACCTGCATCATCTCTTGTAAGAATGTTGATGGCTGTAACTCTCCCAGGCTCTTCGGAGTATTCATGATAGCCTGGAGCACCTTGACATTCTTGTGACCATGCCCTACGCCAAGTTGGAGTCTCTATAGCGCCACAATTTTCACAGTACTGAGGCATCTGTCCATTTCTAAGGGCGTTCTCCAGCTTTTGTCTAATAGAAGCTTTCTTGGCTTCTGTTTGGGTAGGTGCACTCGGAGCTTCGGTCATATAATGTGGATTCTCGGACCAAGTCTGAGATCGCTGGAAAGCCGGCGGAGGGATAGGGTCACTTGCAGGAACAGTCTGGGGGGCCATCGATCCGGTAGAAGCTGTCCGAGAAAAGCTTCCAGATACTGGACGAGGTTGTGGTGGTGGTGGCGGTGCTGCAGGGGCATGCGTTTGTGGCATTGGTAGTTGCGTGAATTCACTGGTTGGCGGAGTCGGTAGATGTAAGGTCGGTGGTGGTGGGTTCGCGCTGGAAGCAGTTTGAGACTGGGAAGCTGGTCTAGAATTGGGACGACTGTTCGTTTTTAAGGGGGGTAGTGATTGCCCATCCTCGGACATGGTACTGTTTCGTCTAGATTTTGCTTGTGTTATTGTTGCCTTAGGCTTCGGCTTGGCCTGTTCACTTAGAAGCATTCTTTTTGGCAGTAATTCCATAGGACCTGGTGTTTCTTCTTGGATGTGAAATCCACCGTCAGCATTTGAATTTCCTTGCTGTGTTTTGCGAGGACCTCGTCGCCTGGTGCTCTTCTTTACAACAACAACATCCTCTTCATCTATTGGGCGTGGTACTTCGTCATCTTCTCCGAAAAGGTCATCGAGATCGTCCAAATTACCGCTCATGAAGCCGGAATCTAATCTAGGCATAGGTGGTAGCGAGGGGCTCGAAAGACAAGGAGGGCTAGATCGTATTGACGGTGTTGCATTTCGAAGGACTGGTGGAGAGGATGCGATGTCTTGAGGTGTTATTCCTGGACTTGCAATGTTGTCCGGGGAGGGATGGGCTGATTCGATGGAAAGCCTCAGACGATCTTCTGGAGGGAGTGAAGGTTCTAAGTGTGAATAGGCTGGAGAATGTGCTTGAGGCATCTCCAACTGAGGAATTGACCCCTGTCTAAGCCCACTTTGTGACTGTGGTCTGTGCTGATTGACTTGCTGATTGACTGGTGGATGTGGCAATATTGGAACTGGTGTAGGTGCTCGAGGAATCTCCTGTAGATGGTTGCCTACAGCTATGCCACCGGATGGCGCTAGCGGTCTGAAAGCACGTATAGAGCCTGCAGTGCTTGCTGTAACTCGAAGCGAGTCAGATCCAGAACCAAATGCTGATTTGTTACTCCAGTCTGCTTGAGTAATCTTTGCCCTCTTCTTTGGAGCCGGTCCATCTTCTCCCTCTGTACCTTCTTCATACCCAGAAGTGTTGCCTCCTACCTCAGGCCGGGGATTCTTTGGGGGGCGGCCACGTCTTCCCCTCTTGACAGTCGTCCTGGATGCGGGCCTAGCTATCTTCTGTTCTCTAGGAGCGATCGTTACTGGTTCCTCACGCACAGGTGCAGGCGCTGGGGGTAAAGCTTGGTTGTAAGGATTTCTCGGTGGAAGACTTGGACTGAGAAGCTGATTGACTGCTTCCATGGTGGTACCTTTATTATTTGACATAGTGGCCGGGGTTGACGTTCTATTCGACATTTGAGGCGGTGGGTTTTGCTGCGGCTGCTGTATTAGAGAGTTCCATTCGTTCTGATCATACATCGGTGTTGACATTTGTCGACTGGAGTTTCCCATGGAGTTTGTATATTCCATTGGAGATACCATTTGAGGGACCAAACGAAGCTTGACCTCCAAGGTTTCCTTCACTCCATTTGCAAATAAGCCCATAACATTTTTGCATACTCGTCCAGTAACAAGCTTTTGTGATTGATGCTGATTATTCGGCATAGGAGGCGATTGTAAAGCTCTAGAAAGCATTCCTTGTCCTACCAGAGGACTATCGTCTTCAGAATAATCGTAGGCATAAACTGTGAAATCTCGTCCTGGTCGGGGTAGCAGTTCCGGGCTACATTCAATAATTGCTTGTAAACATGTGTAAAGATCGATTACTCCGATCGAATTCGTTTCGTCCATGGCAATAGATTGGATTTGAAGTACCTGTGGCCATCGTGCCAAGCAATTTGTTTTGCATCCATCATCGAAAGTGTAGAGCACCTTGACTATTGAACCCCCCACTGTAAGCATTGTGATCAGATTAAAGCTTTATAGCAATGTACCTACGTCTCATCGGTCTAACCATGACTCCATTTTCACTATGGTCATTGTTATTTGTTGGCGGCGGGGGAGGAGCTTGATGTGGTTGATTTTGTAATTGAGGATTTCCCATTGGTACCCCTGCCGGAGACGACATTGTGAGCTTTCCTCTGCTTCAATACCTAGGCTCCTGAGGTATTGAATCGTTGTGAAAGTTGATCAAGACTGTTGACAAGAATATAAAGTCATCCATTAAAGGTCGTGATGAAACGTGAGGGATTTTGGTGGCTAGGTAAATTTCGCGTCCAAACGTGTGTACCGCTACCGCTATTTACGCGTTGAGAACTTTGTGAAGTTGGCGCTAAGAAAACCGGTAACTTGTAGATTGATCTTCGCTGTATGTAAAACAAAGGGATTTTCAATAAAGTCGGTGTTTGTTGTCGATGTCTCAAAATTGTGCAGTCTGCTTAAGGGGAGAAGAAGTAACTAGTAGGTAATTGTGAACATTTAATATATGGGAATCTTGAATGTATGTATGTTCAATTGTATCGAGTACAAATTCAGTCTAGATGTCGCGAATAATTGAAGGACGAGCCAAGCAGGGGTACCCTAGCTATAAAGTTGCTTCTTAGTGCGAGG